GAGCGTCCTGCAGCCGGCAGCGCCCAGCCCAGCCCGTGGAAGAAGGGGTTGCATTTGTTTTTGGAGCCGTTGGAGCCTGGCAGCCCCTATCTGAAATCCTTCCTTGTTCTTCTGCTTTAGTTTGATGACTTCTCCCGCGACCTGTGTGTCCAGTCACTGCTGGAGATCATGGACATGTTCTGCGACCGCCTCAGGTATGGTGTGGCCCTTCCAGCCCTGCTGCCTCGGCCCTGGGTGGTACCGCGGGCAGTACCGGGAGCCAGTGGGGCCCAGCTGAACCTGGGGTACTCGCCCTGGCAGAGGGAGGCAGGTTCCCCCTCCAGCTCTGTGCCCATTCCCAAGTTGCCATCCTCCTCCGGCTGCCCTGGGATGAGCTGCCACACAAGTGCCAGCACAGGCAGAGCAGAGGGAGTCCGAAACCCCACGAGTTTTGTGGGAAGCTGCACAAAACCCCCCTATACTGGGCTAAACGCCTCTGCCATGATATTCCTGCCTGGCTCAGGTGGTTAGGGGTGGGTGTAAGCCCTGTGGCCTGAGGGTTTCTGTCTCCTCAGAGCGTTTTCTTTCTCTTGTGTGGCCTATGCAGCTTCTGTCCCCAGTCTGCCAGCGCTCACAGTCCTGCCTGCGCTGCCCCAGGCAGCTGCCTTGTTTTGCTTCGTGCTCTTCCGCTGGTGTTGCAGGACCCAGGGGAGTCCAGACCATTCAGGCCACAAAAACTTTTTTAGAAAGCTCAGAAATCTTCCTGTTAACCCCTGACAGCCTCTTCTGGGAGGCCAGAGCAGAGAGCATGCGGCGGTGGGGTGGGAACAGCAGCAGGAGGAGGAGGAAGGCTGAAGGTAGCAGCTCTTCAATTACATGAAATGAAGCAGCAGCAATGAATATGCATCAGTCACAGATGTTGACAAGGAGCTGTTGCTGGCCAACTGCAGAGCTGGCCACTTAATCCAGTCCCTGCCTAATGTGATCCTCTGCTTAATTTCATCAAAACTTCTGGCCCCAATGATTTGTGCATCAGGAGGGGAAAGCGTTCACCTCTCGCAGCACATTGATCAATGCTGAGCCTCTCTTAGCAAGATAATTTGATTAGAGGCTTGGAAAGTTTCCCTGTAGTAGAGTGGCCAGAGAGGAGGCTGCGCTGGGGAGACTTTTATTTCCCCTGGCACAGCCGGGATGCTCATGGGCTGAGCAGGTTGGGATCTGCGGCAGAGGAGCCGGGAGCCAGCGGGCAGGCTGGGCTGGGTGCATGGGATGTGGGTTTGGATCCCCAGGCTGCCCTGGGTGTGTGCCTTGGTTTCCCTGGGGGCAGTGGCCTGTCCCACCGTGAGCAGGGTCCCGTTTCTCTCCCCTTCCCAGCTGCCATGGCAAAGCAGAGGAGTGCATTGGCCTCTGCCGGGCGCTGATGAGTGCCCTCAACTGGCTCCTGCGCTGCGCGGCCTTCTACGCCGAGAAGGTGAAGGAAACGCTGGAGCAGGTGGCAGCTGAGAGCCAGCTGAAGATGTGTCTGGAGCGGCTGGCGAAGATGCTCAGCAGCACCAAGAACCGCGCCCTGATTCACATCGCGAAGCTGGAGGAGACATGTATGTTGCTGCCCCTGCCCTGCCCTGCGGCGTGCTCTGCCCATGGCTGCTGCCAGGGCTTCCTCCTAGTTGCTGCTGGCCCTGGGGAGATGTCATTGCCACCTCTCCCTTCCCCCTGCCCGGCTCCTGCCGCATTGTCCCTGCGGCTCCAAGCCCATCTATCTTCCAGCCCTGTTGCTGTAACCGTCTCCTCCCTGGCTCTGTGCCACCCTCTGCCCCCTCCCCTCCATGCTGCCCTTGGAAGAGGAGCAGAATTAATGTGAAGGCTGTGTGAGCTGTTCCTGGGCACGCAGCAGGTCCTGTGCTCCGCCAGTGTGCCTGGCACAGCTCTGTACCTTTGGTTGGTGCCTGCGTCTGGCCAAGAGGCTGTGCCAGGCCAAGCCTGAAGCAGGAGCTGCTGGGTGGCACACAGACCCTCGGCTCGGCTTCACAGAGGTGTGCTGACTTCTGCTCACTGCGGGGCCCAGCGGGGAGCCCCATCCTTGGCAGGCCCTCTGTGTTGTCGTGGGCCTTGGAGCCAGCCTGCCCGGCTTCTCAGCGTGTCGCTGTCGCCCCCCCCTCCACTGAACGCCTGACCTCCCTCCACAGCCTCCTGGAGCACTGTGGAGCAGTCCCTCGTCAAGCTGGGGGAGAACCTGAACAGCCTCAGCAGCTCCCCGCTGCGAAGCCAGGCTGATGACTGCATCTCCCTCATCAAGAGGTAGCTTTGTACCCCTGTCTCTGCGAGCTCGGAGGGTGAAATGGGTCTGAGCCCTGCTCTGGGGACTGGGAGCCTCCAGCCTCTGTCCATGCTGGCTCCCTGCTTTCCTGTCCCTTCCCAGCTTGGACCCCTGCACTGGCAGTGGGCTGGAGCTGGCGAGAGGCCCTGGGGTAGGAGAGGGGACAGGACTAGTGGTGACTTGCTGCAAAGGGGTCTTACCCAGGGCTTGCTCCTCTGGTGGCCCTGGGGCCTCTTGCCATCTCTCAGCTGCTCTGGCCACACCAGAGCTGCCATCCCCACTCTGGATCCCCCCGGAGTTGCTCCCAGGACCCGGGCTGTGGCACTGGGGCTTGGCTGTGCCTGATGGCTCTCCTGCAGGGCACAGGAGCTCCAAGCTGTCCTGCCCCAGAGATATGTAGGGCAGCAAAGGTCAGCGGCTTGGCCAGGAAGGGAGGATGGGACAAGAGGGGCAAGGATCTGTCCCTGCAAGGCTCCAGTGACCCTGTGCTCGTCTCCCACCCAGCATCCCCACCATGCTCTCAGTCCACTCGGAGCAGCTGAACAAGACCGGCTTCCCCACTGTGCATGCCGTGGTGCTGCTGGAGGGAACCATGAACCTCACAGGAGAGACCCAGCCGCTGGTGGAGCAGCTGATGATGGTGAAGAGGATGCAGGTACAGAAGTGGCATCTTGTTCTCCTGCTCAGGGTTTCCTGGGGGCTGTGGGACCAGTGCCTTGCTGCAGTTCTGTGCTGTGTACTTCCCTGTGCTGAACCTGGTCCAAGGGTATGGGCGCAGCTGCAGGGAGCAGCGTGAGCCCATCAACACCTTCGCAGGGGGTTCAGGGTTTGGCTGTGATCGAGGGAGTCACTTTATTGCCTTTCCAGCACTGGAGAGTTTTGTCTGTGTGCCCTGCAGCACATCCCCTCCCCGCTCTTTGTGCTGGAGATCTGGAAGGCCTGTTTTGTGGGCCTCATCGAGTCCCCGGAAGGCACGGAGGAGCTGAAGTGGACAGCCTTCACCTTCCTGAAGGTAGGGCCCAGCCCCGCTGTGAGCGCAATGCTCTGAGCTCCTGGCCTGCCGCTGCCTTTTCCCTGCACACCCAGTCCCTGCTGAGCGCTGAACCCTGGCAGAGCAATTATGCCATGGAAGCGGTGGAGTCCCCATCCCTGGAGGTATTTAAAAGCTGGGCAGACGCGAGGTGCTTAGGGACATGGTTTAGTGGTGGGATGGCAGGGTTACGGTAACGGCTGGACTTGATGGTCTTTCCCAACCTCACAATTTTATGATTCTGTGAATCAGTTCTCCTGTCCCTCAGCATGCCCCTCGGGATCCCCCCACGCCCTGGCTGAGCCCATGGCAGCGCTCCTGCAACCCCCTGAGCATCAGCTCTGCTCTCCAGGGCTTCTTTTCAGCCCAGCCCTGCTTTGTTTTCCAGAGTGGCTTTCCTGGGATGTTGTGGGGGAAATTGTGGCCTTTGAAGGATGCCACAGCAGCCTCGGGGTCTACGCTCCCACAGCTCAGTGGTGGGCAGCCCTGGAGCAGTCTGCTTCACCTCCTTTCTTTATACCAGACAAAAGGGCTCTGCGTGTAATTTCAGGCCTGACACATTCTCTGGCCTGCGCCGGCCTCTCTGCAGCCTCAGTCTTCTGCCTGGCTATTGAGGGTTGGCCATGTTCTGCAGCTCCCTGTGACGGTAGAAGGCCCCTGCAGAGGGGAGGCGGGGGGACAGAGTCCCCTGGGTGTGCGGGCTGCTCCAGAAATGCTCCTTTCCCTGGGCTGGGAGAGCAGCTGCTTGCAGGCGTGTTTGGTGTGGGCTCCTGCTGCCTGTGTTGCTGGGAGGTCCTGAGTGCAGAATGTGCTCTGCCTCTGTCAGTCACATCTGTGCCCCATGTCTTTCAGATCCCCCAGGTCCTGGTTAAACTCAAGAAGTATCCCCAAGGGGAGAAGGTGAGTCTTGAGGGCTGTCGATTGGAGCTGTTTGCCATTTTGTGTGCCACAAGCAAGCTGTGTTTGTCATGATGGTGCTGGTGCCTGGCCAAATCTGTGCAGGGGTGGCTGGGGTAGGAAATGATCTATGTCCCAACAACCTTCCTCCAACGGACAAGGTGACGCAGGAGGGGAAGGTGGGCTCGTGTCGGCAACGTTCTGAGCTGAGTGCTTGGCTTTGTGCATGGCAGGACTTCACCGAGGAGTTGAACTGTGCCTTCGAGTGCCTGCTGAAGCTGACCCCTCTGCTTGACAAAGCAGATCAGCGATGCAAGTGAGTGCTGGCCGTGTCCAGGGCTGACCTGCAGCACTGTGAGCCTGTGGCCAGTCTGTGCCACAACCACCCCGTCATCTCTGCGGGGGGCCCCGGGAGGGGGGGCTG